TAGAGAGCAATGGGCGAGACTTAACAACATCGAAATTAAAAGCGTCCCTATAAAAAAAAAAGTCTATTCATAATGTAGAAGAAGTTGTCAAAGGTCACTAACTACTAATTTCCTAAAACCCAAGTAAATTATATTGCGAGAGTTCCTATTCATGATGCTGACAAGAAGCATATTGTTGTAAGTTTCATTAACTGATATGAGAAGAGTTTGTGGCTGAAGCGCGCTTGATCCGGCTATGATGACTCTACAGCAAAAATATTTATAAACGACCATTTAACTCCAGAAAACAAGAAACTATTAACATTTGTGAAAAGTGTTGCTAAAGAAAAAAACTTTTTATATATCTGGGTAAAGTTTTCTAATATTCATGTTAGAAAAAACTACACTTCGCCGGTTAAGACTATTGCAAAGGAATCAGATTTAAACAGAATTATTTAATTTATCTCTTAAAAAAATATTGTACTTATCATTTTTATTAAATTTTGATGTTTGTAAGTGTAGTCACAAGATTGATAACCATTGTCGTACTTGTTTACTGTAACCGGTTCTATTTTTCACTATTGTGTCCGTCATTTAAGCTGAATAGAACGCTTTACCTGCTTACGCACGTTGATTGTTGCACTTGCTTTGCTGCTTGCACTTATGAATTAGTTGTTTGTTATCTACATGACGGCCTTGAGTGTCACAAAATAACTAGTTATTCTATGTTATTGATATTGGCTGGTTTAATGATGAACTGCTCGTATGCTTATTATTATACTTGCATTGTGTTTGAGTTTTTCTTGGAGCGCTTTTCAATTTACAAATTGTATGTGTTGTTTATTTTGCCACTATATTACTTTATTGATTTATCTTCAGTAATTTTAATTATTTAAGTGTATATTATCAAATTTCTGTGGGTCTTAATAATTTTATTTAAACAATCCCTTGCTCAGAGTCATGTCCCGGCTCTCTGGCAAACGTTCTATCATAATCCCTGTTTATAAAAAGGGTTCCAAATCAGAGGTTCCTAACTATAGACTGATTTCAAAGTTGTGTGTAATTGCTAAGTTTTCATCTGTTTATAACACCACTGCTACAACAGTGGACATTACAATGTCTTTAGATGCGACAGTTGCCCCTTTGTCTCAAGAGAGCACATGTGCATTGACAATTATTAACTTATCAACCACTAAAGATAACATCGTTAAAGTTTTAAAAAGACTTGTCCCTAAGAAAGGAGCGGGGTCTGATGGAATTCCATCCATTTTTGTGATAAAATGTTGTAATGTATTGGCTGAGCCTATTTCTATTATATACAATAAATCATTCTCCACCGGTTGCTTCCCTTCTGCATGAAAAATGGCACTTATAGTACCTATTTTTAAAGAAGGTGCTAGATCTTCTGTTTTAAATTATCGCCCTATTTCTTTATTATCTGTTTTTAGCAAAGTTTTTGAATCACGTTAACCCTGTAATATAGTGGCACGTTAGACATAGTATACTTGTTCAACAACATGGCTTTATTAAGGCACGTTCAACTGCTACAAATCTAGCATGTTTTGTATCGGATGTTGCCGCAGCGGTAGATCATGGGGTGCCTGTCGTCGCTATTTTTCAATATCTTTATTAATGATGTTTTATACATTCCAAAATACATCTTTATGCTGACGACCTTAAAATTCTTGAATCTTGAACACTTTGATGATTACCGATTTAAATAGGTTTTCGCTTTGGTGCGAATTGAATTTGATAAATCGCAACCCTAAAAAAATGCAGCTTTATTCACTTCTCAAGGAGTAAGGCTTCATACTTTAAGCATTACCAATTGAGTGGCTGTGTGATTACAGAAACTAATTTAGTACGAGACCTTGGTGTTTATATAGATAACAAACTTTGCTTCTATGTACACGTAGATAAAATTACCAAAAAAGGCTTCAATTTGTTACTTTTGATATGCTAACCATAAAATTGCAATTTTTGATGCTTTGGTGTTATCTACAATGGGATATTGCAGTGTGATTTGGTTACCATATTACGATGTGCATAAACGCCGTTTGGAATCCATACAAATAAGATTTTAATGGCACTTATCTTATCAATTTTGGTTTTATAACGATTTATCATCATTTACCGTCATATAATTCACGGTTAATGCACTTCAAACTTCAAGCTATATTGATTGCCCTTATTTATTACGTCAAATAAACCTCAATGTACCATACAAAATGGCTCGATCTTCAAGATACCGACCTTTTCGCGTAAAAAGTTTCAGAACTAACTTGGGTCACTTCTCGACAATCAAAAGAATACTAATACATTATAATCAATTTTTACACTCAATGGATCATCACAATGATATTGATATGTCATATTCTCTACATAGGTTAAAGAATATTTTGTATAATAATTTCAGTCCTGAACTACAGTTTTTGACATGACGGCTGTAACTGCTAATGATAGTTTGCAATTGAATCTTTTCGATCTGATATGCCTTTAATTTTATTACTATTATATTTTTCTGTTTTTTTTACACCGACTCGGTTCTCAATATCCTACAGGTGTTAAATAGCTTCTGTACTAAACATCATCTAATGGTTAAGTTTACTTTGTTTACTTGCTATAGGTACATGTTGTAACAACCTGTAATTAAAACCGCACTATTGTAAGTTACTGATTTACAATGTAGACTGACTTTACTTTCGGATTGACTTTACTGTTATACGATTATGGTTATAAACGGTTTGAGAAGATAGTTTATGAGCAGGTATATAGTGCTCTTACTCAGAGTTTTAGTCAATCACAACACGACTTTCTTAAAGGGCAGTCTACTGTATCCAACATGATCTTATTGAATTAATTTCTCACAAAAGCTATGGATGAGGGGTACCCGGTTGATGTAATTTATACCGACTATAGTAAGGCTTGTGACCGAATTTCGCATAATATCCTTCTATATAAGCTTTAGCTAATCGCTATTTGATTCACGGTGTTTTGCTGCAATAGTTTGCCTCGTACGTTGATAAACGCTATCAAGCTGTAGTTGTGAATAACTACATCTCGAGCTGGGTTTCAGTTCCTAGTGGCGTTCCGCAGGGCTCGTTGATTGATCCATTGCTATTCGTTATTTTCGTCAATGATATTGATACGCGTTTCTATACATCGAATCTTCTTGGTTTTGCAGATGATATGAAGATATATACCAAAATACATAATCTTGACGATGCCGTGTCATTGCAATGTGATCTTAACAAACTGGAAGTGTACTGCAGTCAACATATGTTAGATTTAAATCCAACCTAATGCACAGTCATGACCTTCACTAGAAAGAAGGTTTTAATTACTACACACTTCAACAACTTAATTTACAATGTGTCCAATCTATGCGAGACCTCGGAGTGTTACACGATAATAAGTTATTATTCTATGAGAACATAAATGCTACGAGTACAATATCTAAAGCGCTCGGATTCCTATATTGTAACTGTAGGGACTTTACCAATGTGAAAATATTTAAAGTGCTTTACTGTAATCTTGAGCGTAGTCACCTGGAATACGTAATAAATCGATAGAATTGAGAGCGTTCAAAAAAAGTTTTTGAAATATCTATGTTACCGCACGAGATCCGCGTATAATTAAGTGACTATATTGATTTATCTAAGAAACATCACTTTTTAACACTAGAAAATCGTCGAATGATTGCTGATATAATGTTTTTATTAAAAACAGCTTCTAATACTATTGATTGCCCTGAGCACTCTCACTATTAAGTCTTAAGGTTCCTAGAAAGAATATTCGTTCCTTTAAGCCAATTCACATTCCAGTTTCTAACACCAATTATAGGCAAAATGCCTTTTTGCTCCGTGCGGGCAGGTGCGTCAACAACTTGTGTGATAAAATTGATTTGGAGTTATTCTACTCAAATCGTAACTCAGTAAGGCAAAATATTATGAAACTACTCACTTAACCGGGGGGTCTTGTTGTTTTTATTATATAAAATATTTATTGACTGTTTTATTATCTTATTGGATTCATTAGTTTGCGTGTCTCAGAATTAATAAGTGACCATTTATGTGAATCTATAATTGGTTCTATGCTGCATAATTTGTTAACATTTTTGTTTCAATAACTGTTGATTCACCTATAGAAATAAAAAATATTTAGGTTATATTTGATGAAAATCATATTTTGTTTTGTTATAAAAAGAAAACTACTGATTAGATTTCGATAAAATTGAAATGGGACCATCTCGGCCCATTAACCTTTCGAATAAAAAAGAATTTTTAAAAATTGAAACACATACAGTCCAATTGAGAACCTCCTCCTTTTTTGAAGTCGTTTAAATATATTGAAAAAAAAAACAGTGAATACAAAAGCTTTTTATATCCTTAATTAATAAATTTTCCAATGCTATATTACTCAGAATTTAAAATATGGTCGTAATAATTAAGATAAGTCCTTAATGGTGTCCACACTCTTCGATAGAATAATAGCATAGTTATAGCAATGTAAAATATATAAACTTCTTGCTTTTAGTTTTCTTGTAAAAAGTGACAAATTGCTGACAATATTCAATTCTATTGGGACCTTATTAAAGAGTCGCGATGCTTGATAATGCGCACTATGCTTAAAAACAACAAGCAAAAGAGTATTACATCTCAGAATATATTTTCTCTTCATATTTAACCTTGTTTCTTTCCTCAGAGCTGTTGTGCTTTGTGCGGGTACTTAATTATGTCGCATAATAAAACCAAAATATAAATACATGGAACGGTTCCGCAACTTAATACAATTGTCTCTGTCGCTACTATAATAATGTAGAGTCTTGACACTACAATATTATAGAGAAAGAAAATGCTATTAAAGTCAGGCGAAGGTTTTCTGTACGTTATTGTAGGAAAACCTCCGCCCGACTTCAACAGCATTTTCTTGAATAAGTCTCATTTGATATAAGTATTATTTATCACCTCTTGTTATACTATTATTCAATTTATTTATTTAGTAATTATTGTTCTTATTAGGAGGCTCGCAACGAACGTGGCTACGTGTGTTTGTGCTCTGCCGGATTCGCCGGTCTGAACTGTGATGGTGCCGGTGAGGCGTGCCGGCCCGGACTGTGCGGACCAGGACGATGCATCGACACAGCACACGGGTACAAGTGTGCCTGCCCTGTTACTTACAAAGGCAAAAAGTAAGTTTGTACTACGTAGATGGTAATGAGAATCACTTAATCTCAATTTGGTTCAAGTTCAGTAAGGATATTGTTATAACATGCTTAAACAATATATATTGTCAGAGTCAACATTAAAAATGTATCTAAATTACCTTAAAATTTCACGTAGCATAAGTACATAAAATACTTTAATTGTTTTGTTTTAAAGCTAAGAACGGATGGACTGACCAAAAGGCATCTCATCATCTATTTAAAATAATTATTGACGACGGCTCAAACAAAGATTAATTAATTTTAAAGTAGTGGGAAATTAACGATGGCTAGTTACAAATAAAACAAAAACAATAATATTAGTTTTAATCACTTATAATATCAACCAGTGTTCGAGCATATAAGTACCTAAAACATATCTTACTTTGAAAAGTAACAGTAAGCTTGTGTTGTGTAAAAAATTGGGACCTTTTACTTTATAAAGTATGGTACTCGATATAAGCGACGGTCGGTACCCCGATTCTGTAAATACTTTGAAAACAAATTATCAGTATTTCTACATACTGCTTCTCTTTAGAACATAAAAGTATGATCTGTCATACATATATCTATCAGTCCTCAAGTCAAATGCGAAAAATTAGACTACGTATTTAATTAATTCAACATATTTTATTAGCTGCGACGAGAAGCAGACCATCGAATACCCAGCGTTCACTGGAAGTGCATACTTAGCAGTTAAAGCACCGAAATTCTCCCGCTTGTTCCGTATGTCGATGAAAGTGAAGGCGACGGCACCGGTCTCCGATGGTATCATCATGTACTGTGCAGAGTCCCCGAGAGGATACCGAGGGTTCACAGCTCTAACTGTACACAACTCAAGACTGGAATTCATTTATGATCTCGGAGACGGTAATTCTTCATACTATACTATAAGGCCTACTCTGTCTTCTTAATCAAATATTTCTCTGAAAACGAAATTTCGTCTAAAGTACAGCCAATTAGCAGCGATACTAAAGGTCATTAACCCGAAAAACAACTGTGGAGTTGACAATCTATTATCTATCTCTTTCCATCTTGTGTATGTGTCGCAATGTCTCGTTCTCCCGGCAAAATGTGTCAAGGTCAAGACGGGTACGCCAATATTCAGGCGATCATTTTAAATAATAGTGATTCATTCATTTTAATTTTTGTCTTTACTGCCATAATATTATTACTATTCTCGACATTAAATCTCGTTCTTGATAACTACATTAATATTCAAACTATAGTTAATAAAAAATACCATTATGTATACCAAAATATGATTTTCAAAAAATCATAAGAACTATGGTGAACGAGCAGAGTAGGCCCTCAGAGTAGGACTGCACTATATTGTAGTAACTAATCTGTACACATTGGACGCGAAACTTGAACCTCTTGCTACAACAGCACTTAGTACACATAGGCACATAAGCACATAGGCACATAAGCACATAGCATACTTCCACTTTAAAAGATGGGTGTTAATAGTTTAGACAAATAATAACAAGTATAAATGATAGGGCTTTTATCCGAGCTTTAACTGTTTAGCCAAGAGCAGATCTTTAACATTACATTTCTTGAGATAAAATATTTCTTTTAGATATGCGACGTACTCAATTTTATAGAAGTTAGATGTACAAAGAGACTTATGTGTATATTTTATTTATTTATAGGAAGTAGACCTGTGATACTGACTAGCAACAGAACGCTGCCACCTAACGAATGGACGGATGTGCACATCGGCCGTGTCGGTTCTGTGGTCTCATTGAAAATCAATCTCATACACAATTTCGAGGACAGATTAGATTCTGCTAAAACTGTAAGTACGCAACGTGCACTAACAATACCATTATCACGATGACATATTTACATGTTTATTCTTTGAAGTCTAAAATTTGAATTTTAAGTTTTGTCGGTAAAATTTTTCATACTTTTTATTTTGTCTATTTTTTTTACTTTCTTAGGTCTCCGATGTTATTTTTTTCCTGAAAACAAACATAACTCAAGTATGTCGACAGATACAACGTATAATAATATAGGTATCCTATTTTTAAGGATTTGAATCTGGAGACGCCGCTATTTGTGGGTGGCGTGGATGACTCCATTGTACTCAACAAGAATACAGGCGTCACTGGAGGCTTCAGTGGGTGTATCAAGGACGTAAGTACATATCCAATATTAAATAACGTTCTCCTTTTTGCGTATGATGCTGCCGAAGGACTGTATCTCTTTCGCGTGTTTATAATCACAGCACACCCAATATCATTTTAATGCTATTATTATTATTAAGCGAGTTAATAAAAATTAAGTCATAAATGTGTCTGAGCATTTAGAATACAAATTCAATAATATGTGATTTTCGATTAGTTAAGCACGAGAATGTTACACTCATTTTTTGAAATGGCATATTCACAAAATATAAAATATCTCCTTAAATGTATTGGAAGATTTTCTTAAAACATTTTAATGTACCAAAAATTATATTATATTGTCCAATATTTAATAATATAAAGTTCCTCGCTGCGTCCATTTGTCTATCTGAATATGATTTAGACAACCGCATTAAGTCGTGAATTCACGCAACTTCATATCGCTGCCCCCGCAGAACAACGTGGTAAAGCTACATTACGACGTTTTTAAGGTTTTCCCATTTTTGGCTTCTAGGATGCCAATGCTATCATCTAATTTTTTTTTATATCTATTTTCTTAAAATTGACATAATTATAAACAAAGACAACTTTTTTCTAGGGATCACTGTTAAAAAATATTTTATGAGAATAAAATAGAAACAAGCAAGTACAATGCAAATGTTTCTATCTCTGTTACGTATTAATCGATTGGGACCCTATTCCAGAACATTATCATACCTGCGAACCCAGTAAACCATTTTACGACTATTTTCTGATAAAAAATATACGCCCTATACGCCGTATTTGAATTTACCGCTCCATGTATTTGAGTCATGTTGTCGTACATTTAACATGCCATTATTCTTGATATTAGAAAAATATGCAACTGTTATTATATAAAAATATGAAACAGCACCACTTCTTGCATTTGCATTTCATTATCAAAAAATGATATTGAAAACCTCAAACATGATGACAGTAGCTAACTGAATAATATCGCGCGACAAGAAAGTAATTCGGACTTGTGAAATCTTTCGAAGAAAATTATCTCCAGATTTCGATAATATTTCAGAACGATCAGTTTTGCCCCACATAACAAATTATCTAAATTAAAATAACAATGCAATTAAAACACCTTCAACGATTTCCAATTTATCTGAAGAATTTGATCGAAATTATAATGAGAAAGCTACAGTGAATGATGAATGTATTGATGATATAAACAGCATAACTTTCTTGGATTTCGATGATTATATACGACATAAATGATCACAACATGAGCACTCAAAGTGAGTCCAATACTTCAACAATTATATTTCAAACCACTCGCTTAGAAAACATCCACGAAGTTAGAACAACGGTGTAAATATTGCATAAAAACAGAACGTATCTCAAAGTCAGTTGGAAAGCCTATTGAGGAAGATGACATTTTAAAGTATCAAAATTCAATACAAGAAGTAGAAAATGAATCTGAGATAGGAACTAAGTCCAAAGAAGGAAATAAACCTAAAGAAGAAAAACAAATGTAAGAAGAAAACAGAAAATAAGTCAGAAGAAGAAAATGGGTCAAAAGAAGAAAATATATAAACCTAAAGTAAATTTTTTACTAGAAAACGTAACAAAAATGAATGGCAAAATAAGAAGAATAAATTTCTTAAGAATTCTGGGCAATTTTATATCGGGGTCAGTTCTAAAAGATCCCCCAAAAAGCATTAGAGATCTTTGCAATTTCAAAAAGAAATGCTGCGAAAAGTTCACTGATAAATACAGAAAAGCTATCTTTGAGTCTTATTGGAGAATTGGTGAGCATGAAGATAATGGTAATAATTTTAAGATACAAAAAGCTAATTGATAAAAGACAATTACTTATTTTTTATCATTAAATGGTAGCAAAGAATAGGTTTGTAAATCTTTTCGTTTGAACACATTAAGCATATCTGAAAAAAATGTTTATACAGCTATAGAAAAGAGTAAGAATGACGAAAACATTCATAAAAGGGGAACACAATAAAAGACCACGAAAAATAAATATATCGACTAAACATAGCATTTTAAACGCACATCAAGCTCTTCCCTGTAGTAAAATATCTTTACACAAGAAAACAATCAAAGAGATTGTATTTGTCTGAAAATTTAAACATAAGTCAAATGTATCGCCTGTATAACGAGTGGTTTAGTAATCACAAAACCTATCACCCAGATGGGTGTACACAGAAGCGACCAAAAAACAGTATGAATTTTATTTAATAAACTTTTTGATTATTCATTTTCAAATCCAAGAAAGATCGATACTTGTGCTTTGTATGAAGAAAGAACGGTCACCCTCGATGAAACTTATAGATCACCCATCAAGATCAAAGAAATGGTACAAGAAATAAAGAACAGTTGCTATAGTTGATCTCGAGCAAGTCTTAAATATCCTGCAGTCAAACGTAGGAGTATATTTCATTATAAGAGGAAATCCCCTATCTATAATTTTACCATATTAAACATTTAAATCTTCAAGTATACTGCTACGTTTGGCACTATGAAATAGATGAAAGGTGAGCTATATAAATCGGTTGTTGTCTTTTAAATTTCATCAAAAACGAACACACAAAACAAATACTATAAATGTAAGCCATAATGTTAAACTCCAAAATACAAGGTAAAAAATGATTTTATGACATAAAAGCGCTCGCAGACAAAATATATTTGTTACGGGATTTTATATGTAACAAAGTAATGTGGTCAAAAATAAAACACATAGATCCTGATATACTATTTGTAAATACAATGCGATATAAATACGAAATCCGAATTTGAGTCTCTAAAAACTTTTTCTAAATAAACATGTGGAAGAAGATCAATAAAAGGAAGAAGAAAAACAAATATAGTTTATTAAAGAAAGTATTTTAATTAAAAAATAGAAAAGAATGCAAACAGAAATATTTAGTTGTTATTATTAATTATTTCAATATGCCATTAATGAATAACTGATAGATCTAGAAATAAATTGTTTGTTCTTTGGTTAGAATTTTTTTTATAAAAAAAACTATTTTTTTTATGAAATACTGTTGATTTTTATATAATTCTCGGTTTTTTATAGCCTTATCCTACTATTATTATTAATGCGAAAGTTTGTAAAGATAGGTGTATGAGTATGTTCAGCTTAATATAACAATAATGATATAGGTTATACATGAGAATAACATATAGGCTACAATTTGTTCATTCCCGTGATACCATCGTGTAGTCTACGTGGCCGAAACCACTGGTGGAAGGCTATTTTGATAATATTGCGAATAAAATAAGATAAAATAAAATGAAATAAAAATAAACATGAAAGAGATTTCTTGTGCAATGTTCAAAAGTGTACAACAATAATAGCTTATGATAAAGCGAACTAGAAAAATATAAATTATAAAGTTTAATATTTACATGAGATAATAAGTTTTTCCCTCCAATCCGCATTGGGCCAGCGTGGAGGGTCATGGCCCATCCTCCTTAACCATTCATAAGGAAGGCCTTAGCCCCTGCAGTGGGGACGTAAAAGGGCTGATGATGAATAAGTTTTTAATAATAATGACGTTATAGTTGTATTTAAAATAAAGTATTAATATTTTTTTAAATTGCAACCTATTGTAAAATTATGTTATTGTATTAATTTGATGCATCATCTGGTTTAAACAGAATAAGCTGGGAATAAAAACATATATTTTATTACGTTATGAATTTTTCTAGATCTTTCCCAGAAAAAAGTCGTAAAAAGCTGTTACTCACGGCGAAATGCAAGTCAAAATACATTGAAACTGTTGTTATGTTTAGTTGCCGAGTTTGTCGTAAAGGATTTAAATGTAAAATAACGTTGTCACATCACTTGCAATCAGAATCAGAGAAAATATATGTGGTACATTTCATTTTTCTTATTATTTCCTTGAACAACTTATTAAATTATTTTATTATTATTGTATAAGTTAGAGAAAAATATCTATTTTAATTTAACGTCAACAGAAATTATTTTGATCCAGTACTTTTTGAAATATTAACCAATTTGTGTTTTTATTTTACCCTGAAAAGTTGTCATTTTTATTTTACCACGTTATTCTGTGGGGGCAGCGATATATTTTCAGAATTTTATACACCCCCAACATCATTAAATATCAGTTGGTTTTGAATTTAGAATTAAAGTTCAAATAATTTGTTATATATAATATTATAAAAAGGAAAGATTAGATTGTTTGTTTGTGTGCATCGAATACGGTTTGAAACTACTGAACCGATTTTAAACATTCTTTCATCTACAGATAGCTACATCATACGCGGTTGACATAGGCTATATATAATTTACTTATGCGGAATCAAGGGATAACAGCTAGTTAAAAATAAAAAATCTGCATCATTATCAAATAGTCATTATATTATATTCTACTTCAGACATGTACTGAGCAGAATTGTGGTCCCATGACTTTGTCTCATCAATGGGACGACAAAGGATATTTAAGGGTTACTCCGTTTGTGCATAAACAAAATTTTAGAAAACTCAGAAATGTTATTAAAACTGTAAAAAACGTGTTTCTATTTTCGTTTTATCGTTTGGAAAATAGTCGATATTACATGTTCAGAAAAACAGTTTTATTGCAAACAATATTATTTCTTGCAGACAATATACGGTTTACGCATTGATAAATTTTTCTGGGTAGATATAAATACAATAATTTCCTCGCAATCTTTTTTAGTAACTAATTAATGTGAAAATAATGATAATTTGACCAGGTAATGGTTTACAACGACGCGGTCGACATCGTTGGCTCCTCAATCCAATCGGCGAACGTGCAAGAATGCAGCAACTACGACCGCGGTGATATACCTGAAGTACGGTTTAGTAATTTTTATATATACTAATGTGCAGCAACAACTTCATCATCGACTACATCGACATCAAATATATAAATGGCTGTTATCTGAAATGAGGAAAGTAGAAAATCTTAACTGATTATTCTTAATAACTTAAGTTTTTTACGTTTCGCATTGCAAAAAGTCCTAGTTTTATCAAGCTGCTATCAAACGAAGCATTAAAAATGTCAAGATCAGAAACGAAAAGCTGTTTAAGTGACGTTTGAGATAGTTTAAGTACCAGTTGAGACGTGCTTAAAATTCTCAGTTCAGAAATCGAATGTAGGTAAATGTCCAATCCATCCATAACAAGTTGAGTTCGGAACAAGTAACAGCGTTTGAAGCTGATTAAGGAACAATAATTCCATTCTATTTTCTCAGCTGTAATTCCAAAATTTGTTTCTTTTCTCACGTCATTTATTCCTCTTATGATACACAAAGCCCGGTGGCATTAGGTACTAAAGGCGCGGCTTGGTCATCAAACAGTGCTGCTGACGTCTTTGTGTCATCTATTAAATTCTCTGTGATAGCAAGCCGAATTTCCCTATTGAGATTTAAAAAAATCATTATTATTCGCTTTATTTTAATTTGGAATTAGTTTTAAACATAGGAATTCACATATTCCAGACTAGCATTTGAACCAATTGTAAAGAAATCAATGACTAAATATTATTAGAAACTTTAAATGGTTATTATATAACCATTTAAAGTTTCTATACTAATAACTAAATAAAATATTATTTAGTAAAAAATATTTTATTAAGTTATTAGTTATTTTTACTCTGGCATATTATAACCTTCTCAATTATTTCTCAGAAGAACTCGTCTGAGAGATCGATCGATCAAACTTTGATATGTTATTTTTGTAAATTAGTTACAATAATCTGTTTATTATGTTGAATAAAATATTTTCCAGACGCTCTCGCCTGATTGGCTTCACCTACATACGTAACAACCATAACAATCTTTTATTTAAGCCTTACTTGTTATAGTAATTGCGCAGTCTGTGTATAAATATAATATTTCTAGAATTTTATAAGCTTCAATAACTATTCAATAACAATCTCGTCTGGCACTTATACCATGATAATAAACAAATTAACCATTTACCATATCGTAGGAAAAAAACTGAAGCATTTCATAATCAATCAGAACTATTTTGAAATAATAAATTTTATATAAATTAATTTATTAATTCTGACTTTCTGAAGTTCTGACTATTTTATAATTATTTATTTGTTAAATATATATTAGGTATTATAGTCAGAAACGTGATAGTGGTGTCGATGACGACTTCTGTGGCCGACTAACTGGCACTCCGGTTTCCAAATCTCGCCATCTCTCAGGTTCCGGGTTCGATTCCCGGTCTAGTTAATGTAGAAAATACAACATTGATCCAAAATTTAAATATTACAAGTGCTCTAGTGTGTTAACCACAATGAATGTAATTTCTTAAACAAATTGGTATAATGGTAGAGTGCACAATTACGATGGAGATTTATAAACAACCGAAGCTTATTGCTTGCTTTGTTCTTTTTCGTAAAATATATGTATTTTTGTTTTATCAGATAGAGAGTGTGTGCTCACAATGTCGCAACGGTGGCGAGTGCAGTCCCGATAGCACCGTCTGCGTGTGTCCATCAGGGTTCTCTGGTCGGTATTGCGAGAACCGCGTGCCCCTGACGGCGCGCCGCCCCCCCGGCGACCCCTGCAACGCACAGCCTTGCAGGAACGGAGGCTCCTGCAGACCGGACTTCACCACGCGCATGAACTACACGTGCAATTGCCCGTTAGGATATGCTGGCGCCAATTGTCAGATGCGTTAGTAGTACATTTATACGTATATTTCACAGCTGAACTACAAAGAAGTGGCTTATAACAATAAATTTATAGGGTGCCCTTTGCTTCGCCTAAAATTATAAGTCCTAATTTAACATGGCCGAACTGTATTGGCCTAAACTTATAACGTACAATTATTGTTTAGCCTAACAGTTGTTTTGGCACTATCATAGTTTGGTCTCAGAATTGAAAGCCCTAATTTTAAAATTCCTAATATGAAATCCACTAAAATATATTGGCATATCCTTATTTCGCTTAAATATTAAAAGCTCTTATTTTAGCATTTCTAATCTTAAATGTGCAAAAAAAAACAATTGGCTTGAGAAACGAATCGCAGCAAAACCGACACCGCCGTAAAACCGACATCACGTAGTCTTGTTTGTCCGACTCCTAGAGTGTAATTTAAGCCCGCGTAGGCGTTTTAATTTTTTGCGCATTACTATTTAGTAATTGCGAGGAGTAGGGATAACAGATTGTTCCACCTAATGTCACATTTGGTAAGTTACAATACGGCGATAAAAAGTTACGCGAAATGATATTGGATTAAACACCATTAGGAATATTAAAATTGTGCGAATAAAAATTAGGCTGACCGTTTACGTGCCAAAGCCAATTAGGAGTACAAAAAATTAGGCGACCCAATATACACCCTCATGTATAGCTCATTTTTTTCCACGAAGAAATGAAGTCGTCCTGAACGAAATTTGGAAGATTCAAATGTGCTTGTTGAATAAAAACATTTTTAATTGTCATTGAATGATTTTAACCAATAGGCTGCAACACTATTGTCATTATTAATAAATTATCAGCTTATAAATGTTTCATTTGTTAAATCATAGACAATTAATTGGATCTTTTATATAAACTACATATTGTCACCGCCGAAGGGTGAACAGACATGACGATTAGTAATACAACCCAAATGTAATTTAAATATATCATTAATTTATGGAACATCTGAATATACAGACATGCTATAGACTTACATTAAAAGTTTCCAAATAAGAAAATAAAAAACAGAATTCCTTAATTTCTTCAGTAGGTTTGTAGACCTAAATATCAACATTAACTGATATCGCTTTTTCCAGCGCTCGAGCTGTTTCAAAGTGTAGGCTTCAACGGCAACGGTTACCTGGAGCTTCCAGCCGACCTCCTGCGGTACGATAACCTCGACCGGGAGCCCGCGGAGATAGTGATGGCTTTCAACACCAACAGCGACGGCGTTCTACTCTACCAGAGGGAGGTGCAGCAGCCTATTAACTACGATTTCATTCTACTACGAGGTAAGATAAGCTTCAATCCCCAATAATAAAGCTTAATTTACTATACTTAATTCAAATTTAGATTCTATAACGTGTATGAAATTTATTTACTGAACAGTGGAGAACGGTGTGGTCGTACTGGATTGGGATCTGGGCAGTGGTGAGTCCACACTCACCATCGATGATGTTTACGTGACTGACGGCGACCGACACACGGTAACTATATACATTCTTTATATAGAGATATAGATAATAGTAGTTAGTTATGCGCGATAAGCCCGCTTTTGCATCGTGAGTTGAAACTTTAAATATGCCCAATTAAAAACTGAATTAAAGTGGAATAACTGAGCGGTCTCTTTTCAATGCCAGCATCAATGTTAATGATTTATGAAAAATCGAGTCGCTAAAATATATTATTCATATTTTGTTATTGAGCATTGCAGCCAATTCTTTTCCCATATACGTACTTTATGTTTAGTTCTTTTTAAAAACGTTTTTATATAAAAACGTTTTAAATGGTTTTAAAAGAGCACTCCTCACAAAAGTGAATCGATAGTTTACAAAATTGGTCAAATCACATTCTGGTAAAGAAATCAGAAATATTTTAATACATTACTGTAATTCAGTCAGATCTTTTGCAATTTATTTGAATAACATGAACGAGAACCAATCGCCATATCGGATAGTCACCAATTGGTATAAATTAAGTAGATACTTTGCAAGCTGCACTAAAGTTGAATATGTATTGTGTCAGGTGATCGCGAGGTTCTCCGAATACTATGTATCGTTGACGGTGGACAGCTCGAGTAAGAATGGAACATCGGTCGGCTTCTCCAACAGAGTTGACGCTAACTCTAATATATATATAGGTAATATAACACCTTCCACTTCATTATTATTAATTAATATTAGACAACATCACACTAATTTCTCAGTTTTCTAGATAAGTAGCTAAAACCCTCGTTTTATAAAGTATATGTAACAACACTTAGACCTGAGGCATAGAAATGTTTCTACGTTGCCCGACCGGGAATCGAATTCGTCACCTCAGAGATGGTGACTACTCAAATTTGTATACATATCTAAAATCAATCGGTAATCTTTGTTCAGGAAAAATCAGTTATATATTTTCAAACATTTAAAGAAATTAATAAAACCCCTCATTAGAGTACTAAAATTTACATTGCAGCTTTTACAACAGGAAATATTATTTTAACTTAAAAAATATTCATGTAGAACGCAAACGTACATTTAGCATTAACTTTTGAGGTTAATGCTAAGCATAATATTATATCACAGTCCTAATATACCTTCAGGTATATATTAATATTATATCACAGTTCTAATATATCAACATCATAAGCAGCCTTATTTTTAATCCACTCTTGGAGGATAGAGAGGAGTTGCCCTCTGCGGGGAGTATTATTTCCCACTATTTGAATTGACCATGAGTTATATTTACACATCAATATAATGTTTTACTTCAGGTGGTATACCCAGTGCATTCAATGTGAACAAGTATCCTGGTCTGAATGGGTGCGTGGAACAGGTAGAGCTGATGGGGTCAGACCGCGGGATTAACCTTGGCCACACCGCCGTCACCGGCAGGAATACGCAGCGATGCAGGAAGTTAGTATCACGTCATCGTAATACCTTCAACACATAATGGTGCTTGCTTGCTCACTATAAGATAAAATGGTGATGGCCTACTGTTTTCAGCTCTTGAGTACTAAAGTCAACTTAAAAATGTTTCAATTACAGTCCTATTTTCCTATTGCGTATCGCGGGACTGTAATTAAAACGCGTATTAGATGGGGTATAGCGATCGAAGTTAAAGTGAAGTAAGGTGTGCTCCAAAATCACCTGACTTCACCTGAACTTATATATTAATTACACAACGAATTCATCACCATGCCCCGTGGCTACAATCTTTGTTACTAAGCAAAAGATAGCCGTGTTTGGAAATGGACAATTTAAAAATTTATGTAGAATATCTATGAACTACGAGGTGCCGCACCAAGTTGCTAGTCATATAGTGCTACCATATTAATGCTACTATTCTTTATGTACTAATACGCTTGTACCAACCTTTCACGCTGCTCGGACATACAGCGCGATGTTTTTGGACGTTTACCCGTTCTTCGACGAGATAGATATGTTCCATTCTGCTCCCCCAAGATACCACCTTAACTCCAATCCTTCTAAGCTGAGACCCAACCTTCGCTTAGCACTCATTCCTTTGTCCTTGTACCTGGTACGATTTCTGTAAATTAATAAAATTCAAATGTATGGACAGTTCGATGGACATGCAGGTATGTTATTTAATTAACTTGTCCTTTGAAATTGTATATTATCATGAACTGACCAATATGCCGATTCAAATAAAAATAAATAAATAATAAAAGGATAATGTATGGTACATGATATTGCAGTGGTTAGCGCGCTCGGTCTGCAGTACTGTTGTTAAGCAACTTTCGCAATGGTCGGTTATAGGATGGGAGACCAAAAACTTATTACATCGAGCTCCTCCGTTCTTCGGAAGGCACATTAAGCCTTAATTAACAAGAAAAAATATTTACAATATATGAGTCCCGCATACGAAATATGTACAACGAGAATTATTTATTCAGAGTTTATAATTGTATATCTTACTTAGTTTATAAATATATCCTAACGTTTTTCTCAATCGCTTTTCTCTCTTCACAGCTCAAGAGCTTGAGAGTGTGGACTACTTGCGATTCGTCGAGTCGAAGGTCAAGAACAATTCTGCAACATAATACATTCTTTATTATTTACTTAATCGTTTTAAAATTTCCCAAATACTTGTCAATTGTAACAAAAAACCTTTAATTAAGTATCACCTCTGTTTAGATTGGTATCAATTTGTTAACTGATATAATTGTTTCTCACACTGTAACTAAGTACATTTCGATTATAACTTAAAGATTTAATTGAAATGTAAAGATGTATAATTGTTTAGAATTAAGACTATTTCAACACTCTGGACAATACGAATAGCTTAATTATTAGATAACTGTTGAATAATTAAATGTTTTAAAGTAAAATGTTTATGAAGTTCGGACCCAGTGTTCACCATCGAGGTGTCAACTGAGGTAAACAATGGTGCCATAAGATTGAATAAATCGTATATAAATATATGTAGTTAGGAAAAATATTTACTAATTATACTACAATTTTACAATTCTTGTGGTTAATTTAGTTGCGAATTTGTTCTATTTTTTTTTTTGGTTCAGCCCTTTAGTTTGGTTCGTTGTCAGAATGTTTGCATGGTTCACATTTACACTTGTGATCCCGATGTCCTGTGCCAAAACATAAGCGGGGTTAAGATATTTTAGTACCACTGCCATTTTATTTTGCTTTATTAATTCTTTAGGTATGTAAGAAAATCTTCGCTTTATTAAGCAACGAATTCACTGATTAAGTACTTAGATCTACTTGTCGTCAGAACAAACGATGATTAAGAGTGAAACCTTGGTGGCATTTAAGTTATGTGTATAACGACAGTGGTCATTTATCCAGAGCTATATAATTTTATATATATTATAAAAATAGATATTAAACATTGATGTCATTCAATCGAATTAATGTGCATTAACGTGTTATTAAGCTTGGCTAAGTTTACGTTGTGTCGTTAAAGTATATAACGAGAAATTTTAAAGTACTGATATAAAAGTGTATGTAAATTCTAACTTGAACTATTAAAGAAACTGACTTTGCCTATGTAATAGTATCTCTGTGTATTTCTGCTAAGTGATCAAATGCAACTAATAATAAAAAGAAACTATTCGATGAAGTTTTATTTATTTTAGGACCTACGTCCGTAATTTACTTACAATTAACACAGTACAACGTCAAGATATTCAAATCTATCAAATTTCTTGATAAAGTCCGGTCAATTTAGACATTGACCCTTGCAAAAATTCTCAGACAGTTGAAAATTTGCATAGATGTTAGAGACACCATTGTTATGAAATTGTGAAAGACCCCATCGATTTCATGTCTGCAAAAAAAATTATTCACAGTCAAAGGTTGCAAAAATGGGTTTTTTGAATTTTTCAGCGAAATGGTTAGTTTCATGATAAAATATGTTAGACAAAAATTGTAGATCATACAGTTATCTACAAAAATTGTTCTTACACATTTTTTCACAACACTAACCATTTTTGAGAAAAAACAATTACAAAATTTTCTTACTCTGTATTGTCTATAATATGTACACGTTTCCACACCACCTATGAGATAGTGTACCTAACTTTTTTTTAATGTGGTTTCCCCGGTAGTCTTATTGTTATTGACATGCTTCCCTATTATTCAGGGTCTAGTCTAGGGACTCCGTTATTTTTAACATCATATTTTCAGAATTCTCGGTCAATATGAATGTATTAGTCACGCGGACTTATAGTTTTACTTATATAACAAGCCCAATGATATCATAGGTAGCTTAGTCATGCTTATTATGGAGAATACAGCGTAAGAAAGTTCTGTAATTGTTTTTTCTCAAAAATGGTAAGTGTATTTTTGTAGATAATTGGATGATCTACAATTTTTGTCTAATATATTTTTTCATAAAACTAACCGTTTTGCTGAAAAAATCAAAAAAACCATTTTTGCAACCCATTTTGACCTTTAATGAAAAATATTGCAGATCACAATTTCATAATAATGGTATCCCTCACATCTATGTCAATTTTCAGCTTTCTGAGACTTAATGCACTCCATTCTTGAGCTAAATTGACTGGACTATTAAGCCTAATGCGTTAATTCTAATCAATTGGAAATTTGACGTGCTGCTGTGCTGTGTGTACATAAAGTACCTACTAGATAATAATAGTCTTTTATGAAAATGGGGTTACAAATTGTAAACTGCATGTTTTATGCAAGCGCCGTGATGTTTTTGCAAAAAATCCGTCTGATTCACTGAACTAGAGTTTGTTGTAACTGATGAAAAATGATTGTTTAATAAAAAAATAGATTATACGTAAAGAAATGAAATAAGATATTTGAAAGAGGAAACCACAACGAATTTAAGGGTCATCGTTGATAAAGTATTGATGGATGGATAAATAAAATGGTGAGAAATCTTCTTGGCAGCCGATAATGATAGTGCAATTAGCTTACAATGCAGTGATGATTCTCACTCTAATTGTACAAATACATCCATCAAAAACATAAATGAGAAAAAGTCTAATTCAATATTATGATATACAATGTGAGTAGCTCGGTGGCGTAGTGGATAAGCGCCGCGGCCCGCGATCGTAATCGTTAAGCAACTTTCGCAAGGGTCGGTCACGGGATGGGTGACCAAAAATTATTATCTCGAGCTACTCCGTGCTTCGGACGGCACGTTAAGCCGTTGGTCCCGGCTGCATTTGCAGTCGTTAATACCCTCCAATCCGCATTTGGCCAGCGTGGAGGGTCATGGCCCATCCTCCTTAACCATCCATAAGGAAGGCCTGAGCCCCTGTGGGGACGTAAAAGGGCTGGTGGTGATATACAATGATAAACAGGGAAAAATTATAGGGAAACGCAGTGTCGGAAGAAGGCGAAATTCCTGGCTTAGGAATTTAAGCGATTGGTTTGGGCGGAGCACTACATCCCTGTTCCGAGCAGCAGCCTCTAAAATAAAGATAACCATGAAGCTGTCCAACCTCCGCTAGGAGTGGCATATCAAGAAGAAGATATACAATAGCGTAACTACAGTATGACAAACGCTGTCAAATTCATTTCTGACCCGTGGAACACCAAAGTGATTCACCTAGGTGTACCACGGCTAGCTTTTGTACCACTGGTTCACCTAGGTTTTCTGTTATTCAAAATCATGGACCCGTAGTTCACCTATCTATTGAAATACAAGCCATCCTAAATAATTCAAAAACTTAATGTTAACAAATTGACAAAATTAAAGATTTTCAGGGCAAAACACGAAAGAAATCTATTTTGTTTTATGTTACCTACATTTTAATAAGAGGCAAAAAACAAACTTTACTCTAAAGGTGAATATTCTACTTTTAATTAATAGATATTGTGACAAATGCTTGCTTTGCATAAAATATCGCCTAATTAACTACGTAGCTTTTCTAATGCACTCTCTATAATGATTTCCTTATTAACCAATTGGATATGTTTGTTGAGAATATAGTTATCGTTTTCGAGAAATATTTTTCTTTTTTAATAGGAATTTTATCAGCATGTGCAACTGATACACTTTTTCCTAAAAAAATTAATAGTCTTAATAATGTCACTTTGTTTTTTGTTTAGCACTCGATTTAGTTTGGCATTGAAGCCCTCGGTGACATTATTGATACCGTGGTGCTGTGCAAAATACACTTAATGTTTTCATTATATCATTTTTAAACAAAACACAATTTATAAATTTTAATTTAAATCATTCTTTTTACTAAAATCGTCATTTGTTTATAATAGTTAGTGTTTTGTTTTCAACGACATTTACAGAACGAACACTACAAATGAACTGCTATATATAGTACACTAGTGGACGCCCGCGACTTCGTCCGCGTGGAAGTCGGTATCCCGTGGGAGTGAGAAGTTTTCCCAGTAAAAAGTACCCTATGTGTTATTCTGATGTATAACCTATATTGCTGTAAAGTTTTATCCAAATCCGTCCAGTAGTTTTTTCGTGAAAGA